TTTGAATAATTTTAATCTCTGATCAATAACATTGTTCGTGGAGATAATAATTTATATTTTTCTGAATGAGTATTTTTGTCATAGTAACTTTTTTTTATAATGAGCTTTTTTTGGGCCAAGAAGGGAACTGTATTCCAAAACACAAGCCCTAGTTAAATAATACAAGGCCCAACTTTAAGCCCATTCTGTGTTTCCCAGAAAATAATGGCCCAATTAGCCCAATAAATAAATTGTCTACAAATAATACGGGCGTCATCACCCAAAAATATTCATTTGGGCCTTTATTTTGAGAACCAGAACCCATAAAATATACATAAAAATAAAAAAACCTGTAATAAAAATATTTCCAGTATGAATATATTTTAAAGTTTATCAATGCATTTTTTTTATTAGTAACATATTTATTATCTTCAAAACTGTTTATATAACAACTTTGAACAACCCATATTAAGCGAATAATGGTGAAATTAATCAACGTAGCTATTATTGATTCGGTTATAATGAATTAATTACATTATCAAAAATCTAAAACATGATTCTCAGATTTTATTGCTTCGCCGGTCACTGGGTGCCAGTTATCACTTATAAGCACCTTTTTCCAACTTTTTTTCTTTAATTTTTAACATTTTTAATTATTCTAATATTCATTTAGAAATAATGATACGTGCCTGTTAATTTTTTTAATTAATTTTAATGTGATTTAGGCATTTAGTTTGGTCTTCCAAACTCAATTTGCATGCTCATTACTCACATTAGCTTATAGAGAGAGAGAGATGGTTTCCACACTTTGACTTCTCAATATAAACAACCCACACTCAATGGGAGTTTGCGCATCGTAATAGGTAGGAGAAAATTGCACACAGGACCCCAAACATATTACACTTGTGAACATAAACTTCTTCATATTTTGGTAAAGTCTTGTGGGCTGATATTAAACTTAATCCACCATGAATAACCCAACACAATCAATTAAGAAATTAAATTACAACTATCACTATCAAATGGTGGGTTAGAACATGCAACTTTCTAACCCATACCATGTGGATTTTATTGAGATTTTTTTATCCACAAAGAAATTGGGTTAACTTAACTCAATTTATTTTACATATTAATTTATATTCACCCAATTTTTTTTTTATCTTGCCCTTATTCTCACTTCTAATTAATATTAGCAAACACATAATTTTAAATTCCTACACTTTGCTAGAGTTTTACTATAGGTCTTTACTTTTTTTTTATATTTTAAATCCTGCACTTTTATTTTTCGATGTTCTAAGTTCCTATAACACTAAAAAAATATTAAAAAATAAAAATATAAGGACCTAAAATACAAAAAAAAGTGTATGAACCTATAGCAAAACTCTAGTAATGTATAGGGATTAAAAATTATATTTTTCCTTAATATTAATATATAATACTTAAAAAGTTTATGAAATTGCACTATTTATCAATGTACTAAAAACTGAACTGGTTGAGGCAATAGCTTAAAGGTTAGTGATCTAATAGGAAAATTATGATTAAAATAATATAATTTAATTAAAACGTAAAAAAGCATTTATACTTGACTATGGAAAAAAATAATATTTAAATAAAAAATTATTAATTCTCAAGTAAATGGAATATTCATTCATAAAATCTTATATGTCTTATACAAATATTCATTATAACTTTTTGATGATGACGATGAGGGCAACGATAATAAAATACAGTAACATTAAAAATATTAATTAAAAAAATCTAATTCAAATCAATCCATTCAACCTATCTAATTCATCGGATTTTTTCAAGTTGAAACAAGCCAAAAAAATATTGGTCAGGTTTTCAAAATAGTGCTATTCACAACCTTATATTTTGGTTTTATTTAATTTAACCTTTTTCTTAATAACAAAAAATTAATTATTTTCTTATAATATGACATTCATAAACCACATCTACTTTCTTAAAATAGTTACAAAGCCAAGACTTTTCATGCAAGCCCTCATATCGAAATTAGATTATAAGATGCAAACACGAAGCAATAATCAATACATTTAACTACACTGTACATATTTGTCTTCACCACTAAACCTAACTCAACTGTGCAAAGTACGAAAATTTTTAATTATATATGTAACCTATCCAAAAATGGTAATTGAAAAATATTGGTCGGTCATATGTATGTGGCCACTTTTAAGTGCCTTGCATGCAGTTTGAAAACTGATGTTTGGCATAACTTCTTTTTTTTTGTCGCAATTAATTAATTATATTAATTGATTAATTAATTATTGTTGATGGGTTAAGTTAAAAACCCAACAACAAATTGATAAAAACCCTCGAAAGTGAGGCTGTTAGGTAATCAAATGGATATAATTAAGTCAACCACTATTCTTGAATTTAATAAAACTGTTATCCATTTGACCACTTTTTGAGTTACTTGTTCACCACACCAAATCAAAGAATATAAGAATATTAAAATTAAATAAAGTAATGGGGAAAGAGATTGCAGAGGATTTTTCCTTTTGCGTTTCAATTCCAAGTCAGCTTCATTCACTTTTGCCTTAATTGACGTTCTAATGGTATATTCAAAGAAATTGTCATGTTAAAATACAGATTAATAAAGTTATTAAATAATTTAGATTATATTAAATTTTACTGATATTCTCCTCGGAAAAAAAACTTTATTTAAATACGTTCTAAAGCTAGACGTTAATTAATTTTCAAGGGAAAAATATTTAAATTTTAACGTTTACTTGAATTTTATTTTGATGGTGATATTTGAAAGAAGATTTTTATTATGTGTTTTAAATTCTATTCTTTTTAAAAACGAAGATATAAACACTACAACAACAAACCTTATTTTTCTTTCCTTTTCTTTTTGATAAATACAAACGTTATACTATTTCTTAGTAGTGTCGACAAGGTAAATCATATGGTGACGTTATACTTTTATCAACTATTAATTTAATTCTTTATATTCTCATTCCTCCAAAAAGATATAAGTTTTATTTTTTTTTGTCGAACTATACATCTCTATAAATTAATTAATTATCTTTAAATTGATATCATTTTTTATTTTTATTCTCATTTAATACAGTGCCTCATTTAAAAACGAAGAGTTTATTGATTTATTTATTAAATGTATTTTTAGGGAAAAAACCCATTATCAATTATACTTCAAAAACTAAAAAATACAAGTATTTTATATTTTTTAACATCTAACTTTAAGAATTCTTGTCTTCATCCACCTTGCTAAGGATAGTTGCTCAACTTTTCTTATCAACACTTCTATTAGCTTTCTTTGTTGTTTGTACTGAGAAATCATATTCAAACTTAGTTTAATTGTGTCAATAAAAATCATATTAGAAGTTTTTTTGGCGAAAAATCATTTTATGATAGCTAGTTTTATTTGAGCTCGAAAATAATTAAATATAATTCAATAGTATGTGATGCTAAATAATCACTAAAATTTAGTTAAAAACTGTTATCTGAAGCAAGAAAAAAAATAGTTTGGTAAACTAACATAAAAAATGATATAACATATATAAAAATTCTAACACGTCACGCCATTCCTGAACCATAAAAACTGCGGCTTGTTCCTCAGACTCTTTGTAATACACTAGTTAAACTGTTAAATTTAAATCGAAAAGAATAAGAATAATAAATATATATAAATACCATCCACTAAGTTGGTAAGGGAGGATAGTGAGAAGGGAGAATGACAAAAATAAAAACCTTTGAAAAATATCACCTTTTACAGCTAAAACATCATAAATTACAACTCAAAGGTCTTTATTTTGTATTAATTTCCTTGCAGGGTCTTCAATTGTCATTCTCCCAAGTGGGTATCAATGTTTCAAGAACAGACCAGGCCAACTGTGGATAGGAACTTCTAACAACTCAATTTAGAATTAAAAAAAAATATCTTTCATGTTTGAGTTGGCTTGAATCGGAGTTAAGCCGTCTTTGGATTGGAAGCTGGAACCATTGTCAAAAAACCGAAAATATCTAAACCTAATATGAAAAAAGGCTTTTTTTTTTTTAAGAATTAGACTCTATTAAAAGTCAACTTTATTTTTAAATCTCACTTAATATAATTTGGAACTATTTTCCTAAAAATTTGTTAACAACTATAGATGCAAATGCAATACTTTTAAGTCTACCATACATGATGTAACTAAAATTCATATATATTTGACAAGTTTTAAAATTATAATTTATTTAAGAAAAAATTAAACTTTTAATCTTTTAGTTTTCAACACACTTATAATTCAATCCTTAAAAAATGACTTACGACAACTCAATCTTTCAACTTTTGACTCACTTATAAATCGATTCTTATTTTTTTAAGTTTTTTTAAAAAATTATCTTTACCAAATAAGAGGGATAAAAAATGATCATATATTACTCTAAAATACCCTCATCTTTTTTTTTTGACATGGGATTTAAGTAAACATGAAAAAAAAAAGAACTAACAAAAGTTAAGAAATTAAATTATAAATGAGTTAAAAGTTGAGAGAATGAATCACAATAAGTCATAAATAAGAGACTAAATTATAAATAAATTAAAAGTTTAAAGACTAAAAGATTAAGAGCCTGTTTGGTTTCTATTATCATTTTTTGTTTTTAAAAACTGTTTTGTAATACAGTTTTAAAAAATATTTTTAAAACAAAATAAAATAAAAATTTATTTCGTTATGTCAATTAAAAAAGTTTTAAAATTGAAAAATAAGATGATAGTGATAGTTATAAACAGTTAATAGTGGTGATTAATAATAACAATTGATCAATATAACTATAATTTTTAATAATCAAATGTAGCATATTTTAAAAATAAAATGAAACAACTTAAAATTGTTTCTATTTTTTGGTTTTAAAAGCAAAAATGAAAAACATCTTGGGGACAACTAAATAAAAAGCACTTATTCAAATAAATTTTTCTATTTTTCTATTTTTAAAAATAGAAAACAAACAGATCCTAATTTTTCTTTAATTTAATTATTACATTTCTAGATTGACCGCTGAGGAACCTAACTAATTTGGCCATAAGACTTGGTTAGACTCAAGGCTCAGTGGTCTTTCTTTCTGATTTAACATCAGGTATCACCTTTCTTTAAAAAATGAGTGAATAGAGGAGTATAGTATAATTTTTTCCCAGATCAAACAAGAACAGACAATTTCTATCTGGGCTTTAATGGCGGAATTAAAGAAAGAGAAAGGCAGGTAGGTGAAGAAGAAAAGGCCATATTTATTCCTTAGTACTCTAATGGATCAGCCTCCTCCTTTTTCTTAACTTAGCTTCCCAAGGTTCTGTCTCTCCCATTTTTCGCACTTCACTCTTTTCATTGCTCTTCCAACAAGCAACCCTCGATTCCTAGACATGATAATAATGACGCAGTAAAAATTTAATTTCACAAAAATATAACTCGATAATCTCTTCTGTGTGAAATAATTTAGTCTCTTATTTTATTATTATTTATCATGTTTAATGTTTTATCCTACATGGCTTGTTTAGGATATTTGTCACTGAAGAGAATGATACCTTTTTTAAAATATATGTATTTTTAGTTTTCAGGAAATAATTTATTTTTATTTTTTCCTTTAATAGATATGAGTGTTTTTTTTTTCTTTTCAATTTTTATGTAGAAACAACAGATTTAGATCTTTTTCAGTGAATAAAAAATTAAGATGAGTCTGTCAAGTGAAGAAAGATATATGTATATTCTCTTATTATTCATATTTGACATCAATTTCTTTCCACTTATCATAAAACGGCATTCTATATGATATTTATAATTTATTTAATTAAAAAATTAGATTAAAAAGAAATAGTTGCACTTTGGATTCCTTATTATACAAACGTCCATCTCATGAATGAGAGAGAGACAGTCATTGATTGAATCTATTTTGTGCGAACTGCGAACCACTCTCACTCAATTACACTCTCTGCTTGCAACACCCCATCCTTTAATATAATGGAGACATATATATATATATATATATATTCAATATGTTGCATTCTCTCTCACATGAGAAATGAATTTTAGGAGTAAAATAGAGATAGACACAGTTTTGAAGGAGCCATATAAAACATAAATTAGAATTAACTTCTCCTTTTAGTAATTTACAATGTGGATAAAATTTAAAATATTAGTTAAAGTGAATAATCCATCTAAAATAAAAAAAATCTTTCTGGAAAAATAGCTTATATAATAGAGATATGAGGGAGTATAATATTACTATTATAAAAAAAATCTAATAATTGATTGAATAATTTTGTAAATTAAATACTTTAATTGTTGAAATGTTATTATTTATATTTTCATTTTTTTGTATAGTCTAACTTACATTTTGCTTTTTAAATAAAAAAAGTTTGATCAAGATGTCATTCATTATGACTTTATGACTTCTCTACTTTTCCTGAATTCATCCACCAACATTAAAAGCAGAACATCATACGATAATGAAATCAAATAAGAGTGCCTACTGATGCTGCTACTAAAATTTATAATAACTTGGCCACAGAAATAGGACATCCTTTTCAATTAAAAATGGTTGGTAATGCATCATAAATGTCCCTCTCCCATATAATTAAATATGGTTCATCAGTCACTCACCCACATGAAAACCACCCCTTTGCATTACTCTTGTTCATGCCTTTCCATAAATTCCCAACAAAAGCTTGCCATCTCTTTTCTTTACTTCATTTTCCTCATGAAGAAGGAATTTCACCATTGATATTTCATCCCTCAATTATTGATATTCCCCTGATTTCATTTATAAGATGAAAAGAGAGTATTTACTTTGATCTTATTTCTAGATATCTTTTTTATTTACGTGTTTATTTTTATCCTTTTGCTATTATTAAAATGATGGAAAGTTATTCAGCGTGGGAGTATTTTATTTTATTTCAAAGTATACATACTTAATAATAATTTTTTAATTTTTAAATAGAGTTAATATGATTTAAAATTTGTCTTGATTTTGGTAAAAAAATATTATAAATAACTTATAAATAAAATTTGAAAAAGTACACGCCAAAGATTGTCCCAAAAAATTTAAAATACTAACCATGCTATTAAAAAATAAAAAAGCATAATCCACGGATCCAGATGAAACTTTATAGAAGTATCTAATTTTTTGCGGTCTTTAATGGGATTATCGAAATAAGGGAAAAATTAATGTGACGCAGGGTATTATCTACAGGCTATATAGTAGAGGACTTAGTTACTGTTACTATATGCGTCTACGAGTACTATTTCTCAATTGAGTTTTGAAAATTAAAAAATATATCAAAATTTAGGATTTGGGTCTAACTAATTGGCTTATTTACCGGTCATACCCCAGAGAGCCATCGAAAAGTTTCGCTAATTTCCTCCCCTAATCGGATGGCTTCCACATCGCAGTCCTCGGCTGAGACGGTGGCGTCGCTTCGGCGGCTACCACCACCGCCGGAAAAGAACCTTCCGGAGCCTCGAAAGGATACGGTTCTCGATGATATCGAAGACGAGAGCCTATCGACGTATTCCTTCAGCCAGCTCCTCCCGCTGGAGGCAACACCGGCGGCTAAGCTCGCCTCATGGACCGACTGAGCCGCCGCCGCCGCTAGAGATTCTACAACTACCGATTCGTCCTTATTATCTGACACGCTCCTCCGATGCGCGTGGCTAATTGGAACCTCGATATCCTCATCTACAAAATACTCGAACGAGCCAACAGAATACGACCGCGACCTTGATCTCGCACGCTCGTGTCCAACGACTTCTGGTGGTGCCGTTCCCCGTCGGCTAATGTTTCCAATTTCGAGCCGAAAACTATCGCTTCCTCCTCCGCCTCCGGAAGACGATTGGAGAACCCTCATTAGGTCCGAATCAGATGCGAAAATGGCAGATCGGCACAGCGGACAGGTCAAATTCGACTGAAGCCAAGTGTCGATGCATTCCACATGGAAGGCATGACAACACAGCGGGAGAAGACGGAGGACGTCTCTCTGCTCAAATTTCGAGAGGCAAACAGCACAGTCGCCGCCGGTAGTGTCGGAGGCAGACGAGCGACGACTAATAGAAGAAAACGTGAACAGAGGGAGTGAGTCAATGATGGAAGCCGAAGGAATCTCCGGCGAGACGCGACGGCTGGAAGAGAAAACAGGAGTGGTAGTAGCAGTGGCACTTGCCGGCATGGCATTCCTCCTGGATGACAACGACAAAGACGACGGAGACAGCCGACGAAGGCACCGGAGATTGAGGTGACGAAGGAGCAAGCAGAGAGAGAGCGACACAATGACAGTAATGGCGAGGATGATGACGATAATGAGAACGCTGGTGTTGACGTTCTGAAAAGCCGAAGAGAAGTGTTGAGAGTCGGCATGATCTTCAGCAATCGAAGCCGTGTCGGCGAAGGTGTTTGGGTCTGATCCGACGACGTTTAGGGTATAAGGCGGAGGAGAATTCATGGTTAAGCGAGAGAGAAAGAGAGAGGGAGACGAAAGAGAGAGAAGAGGAGGGAAAGAGAAGGAAGGGAGGACGGTATATAAATGGAGGGAGGGGAGTGCACGTGAGGAGCACGTGATGGGATGGGAAGGCAAGGAAATGAATTTGGGAAGTGTCGTGTGAGGAAGTGGCACGCCTCGCTCGCGTCTGTCTGTCATGAATGACTCACTCGGGAACAGTGGAATTTCATTGCCACCTCTTTTGATATTCCACTGCTTTCCTTTCCCTTCTGGGATTTCACGGGCCCACATTTTCTGTTTTTCTTTTCCTTTTCCAAGCTTTTATTACATTTTTCACATTTAGCGTATAATAGTTTTTAGTATTTTCCTTTTCTTAAAGTAGTCACATACATCATTCGTATTGTGTGCATTGTATGCATTTGGATAAAGATCTGTTTTGCTCAGGTCAAGAAAACATGTTCTATATCAGCTAAATGTTTTCCGAGGAATTTAGCATTAGTTACATTGATTTATAATTTTTACTTCTTATAATCTATCATGTTCTCTGTACCAAATGCATGAGAGCTAGCTATGATCAATGTCAATACATATAATATAAATATAATATAAGTGATATTATTCTTATAATTAAATAGAATATATAGTGGTGTACACAATATATGGAGAACTATACACGCGTGTGTGTATTGGCCGGCTATATGGAATGTTATATTTGAATGAACTAAATTATATTTTATGTTTCTAAATATAAATATTTCTATTTTATTTAAAAAATTAGAAAAATTTTTTTTAAAATATTTTACTTTTACAGATAAAAATAAAGGTAAAAACAAATCAGAGATATCTGGTTTCATTATAATGTAAACAACTTACAATCAGATGTTCATTGAATCTGATTTTTTTTTCATGCATTTATGGAGCAACAATGAGTGAATATGATTAAAATAAATTTAACCATTAAATAAATATACTTACACTTTATACAAGAAACCTAAAAAATTTCATTCTATTTTTGTTCAGCAAAAAGATTGAATGTCTTGCCAGAAATTTTACCCAAAAAAAAAAAGAACATCTATACGAACATACAAAACTTTGTACTTTTATACGCATTAGGGAAAGAAATGTTTAAACGACAATACAGTGATACTGATGCACAACAATTTTCTGTACAAAAAACTTGTGATATCTTTAAAAGTGTCAATTTATTTTTCAACAAAAGAACGTTAAAAAATTAATTATAGCTGAATGTGCGTGTATATATTAATTTCTTATCTTAATGTACATATTCTAACTTTTGCTCAGAATTTATGTCCTACCAAATCACAGTTTCGGCTAATTGTCTAGCTTTATTGTTTTCAGTAGAACGATATTTTTTTTTCTCCTTTTATTTATGAAATCTACAGCGTGCTTGCATTTGCCTAGATTGATAGGAGAGATTAAGAAGGATGGATCTCTCACAATATGACGATCAAAATTTAAATTATCGCTACAAGAAGTACTTATATTTGAAATCAGTTTCAATACTTATCATCTTTAAACCATTCAAATCTAATTTTTATGGTCTAAATTTATAGTTTTTCAAACGAGTTTTTTAAATAAAAAATTATTTTTTTGAAAAACTAATAGTTAAAAAATTGCTTTATTTTAGATTATGTATCCATTAAAATAATTTTTTTGAAAAAAATTAAAAGTAAAAGGTTTAAAATTTGGATCATTCAAATTAAATTTGAATGGTCCAGATGAGATAAGTTCTCATGGTCATTTCTATGATAAGCATTGAAACTAATTCCCTTACATTTAGTGTCCAATCATGTCATGAACATGATTTTTTCTAATAGGAAGACACATGTTATTAATCAAAGAAAAAAAAAGATTGATAGGAGCATAATGTATTTCCATTTAATATTTGTAATTATTATTAAATATTTTGTTTGAAAGATAAAATTTTAATGAATAAAGATTTCTTATAAATTCAAATTTGTTCTCTTTGAAAACATTTTCATATTATTTAAATTAAACAAATTATAAATTATAATACATATATAAATTATTTCCTTATCATTTGCATTAAATAATAGTAAAGTTTTTAATAAATTATAAAACACAGACATATATATACATGTATTTGTAGTTTTTTTAACAATTTAATAGACTTGTTTGGTCAAAAAAACAATGCAATAGACTTTGAAAAAAATGGAAAAGGATTATAGGAAATAATTAATAGTATTACTTTCATAGTTTCATGGGCATTCTTGAATTGATCATCAAGGGAAGAATCTACAATTAAAGAAAAAAAGTCAAATTAAATAAATATTAAATAAAAAAGTCAAATAAAACTTTATCACCAAAGGAATAATTGCATGATCATCACGATCTGCATGTACGCCTAGTTTTCTTGTGAAGGTTTTCCTCATCCAATAATTCAATTCAATAATTATTATTATTATTATTATTCTTATTATTATTAGTAGCGTAAAAATATAAAATATTAATAATAATAACTACATTCTCTAACCCATAATCTACTTAATTCCATGAATCCACAACAACTTTATGGACTCTAATATTATGTCTCCACGTGACACCCCAACATTAAATGGTGAGACTGATGAGAGTCACAATTTTAGACAGTTACGTTCTTTTTTTTTTAAAGTAAATTGTGTGTAAATATCATTTGTTAGTTAGCCGAAAAATAAACTACTCCTATAATTAGTTGAAAAATGGTTTCTCCCTTTTGTCATTCACCTCACAATTTTGAAATCATCAACAAACGTCATACACATATGATCAGATAAAAAACATAATTACTTGCAGAGTTTGATCACTTGAAAAACAGTACTGAAATTGCAGCAAATCCTTTTTTCCACTAATTTATTCCTTTCTATTTAAATATTCACAATTTTTTTCTGGATATAAAAAGTGCAAGTGAGTTGATTGGGAGCTCACTAGATCAAGACGTGCATTTAGATTAAAAAAAACACTTATCAAGGTATTATATAGATTACTTACCAACAAAATCTTTATATCAATAATGAGATTTTCAATTTATCCCAATTTTTTATTGAAATTAATGAAAAACATAAAATTTAGATCATTTATATTGTATTTAAACGGTCTAAATCCGTTGTTTACACTAGCACCAACTAACTTAGTTAAAAAAAAAAACTCACTTATATATATTACTATCATTTAACAATTTCTGAATTAAAAAAAAACAAAAGTCTTGAGAAGAACACAAGATATAAAATGTATATATCATCTGGAAAATTGAAATTTTAAACTTGTATTCGTAATAGTCACTGTTTTTTTTAATTGAAATAAAAAGTTGAATGAAAATGATCCATATCAAACGTAATTATTCACATGTTGCTTTTGCCAGACAACCAAATATCCAATATGAGATGGAACTCACATGATAGGATCCCTTTTCCTGTCTCTCGCTTTATCTTTTATTAAGGTTTCTATCCATTAACACATAATTAAAAAATAAATAAATCATTTTCCAACAAAAGAACATCAACAGTACACTTGATCAGATAATTCTATCACCGATAAAGAAGGATTGAACCACTAAGTTACCAACAAAATTCAATTAAAAAATTGACTCACCCTTAGTTAGACTAGTTAAGAGAGTCAAATATAAGATCTCTGATTAGATCTTAAAATATATAGTCATATTAAATAAAAATGTCATACACAATTTAAAAATGTAAACTCTTAACCACTTGATTAAATGACGAGAACCTCTATTACTCATGCGCCAATTTTAGTTTGGGAAAAAAATGAACAGTTCTAAAGTAAAATATAAAGTATTTTTAAAATTCTAAAGCTGAGGGACACAATATTCCAATTCCAAATTAGTTTACCAATGGGAGCATAACTTGTCACTACCTAGAAACAACCTGGTATGAATTTAATAATTTAATAATTATAAAAAAAATGAAGAAGCAATGATATGATATGTTTGTGTAGTACAACATGTGTATTATTATAATTAATTAACAATAATCAAGTTGTCTAGAATTGAACAGATATGATGATGAGCGCGTGCACGTTTTCACTTGGCTTTGCTTCATTCACAATCTTGGCATGCATTCTCTCTGATCTCTGCATGTATATAAAATGACAAAAAATATATAAACTATGGATTTTTATAATTCTCTCTTTCGTGCAACTCCAACATAACTACTTTGTTTTTAGTGTTATTATTATTAAAGGTCTCAATTATTGGAAAAGGTTTTTCAGTGCAACAACTCAGAAAAAATAAATAAAAAATAATCTTGTCCCCTCCCATATAGTTCGATCCGGACGTAGTTTCTTTGTTGTTAGTTGAAAGAAATGTTTTTAAATACTCCTTGAATCTAAAATATAAATATTTTTTCTCAGCTAATTTTGATTTAAAATACAAGCAATTTGATATATGTAAAAGATTTTTTTTCCCATTTCACGCACTGTATTTATTAACTTAGATCTTTATGTAAACACATCTCTTTCATTATAGAATATATTGGTAATTGTGATTAGGGATAAAAAAATGAAAAGCTATATATATTTTTATAGAAATAAAAATTTTATTAATATGTGAATTTTACCTAAAAACTATTGGGTCGAAGAGAATATAAGGTTTGTGTATTGGGTTGGGTAGGAATAGGATATACCAACATCATACTTGATTTGATCACCATTCTTATTGCTCTTAATTTAAACTTGAGGGTTGATAGTTTTTGACTTTTTGTTGTTTTTTATGTTGAAACAAGTTTTTAAAAAATTTTATATAATGAGTTTCGATATATTGGGACGTCTACATTTATAAAAGCTTTAAATGCTTGTGTTTATCATAATTGATGGTTTAATTTATGCATGGCAAAAAGGACCACAAGACGGTATGTGATTAGGTTGATTGTCATCATTGGTTAATTGTTGGGATATACACTATGCCACAAAAATATATTTCATGTCATCTTTTTACATCAGTTCCTTGAATATGCAAATTAAAAAAGAAGGGGTGACATGTATGTAATTTTAATCAAATAATTCCATGTCGATCATAGGAGAAACTGATGTGGAATGATATCTTTTTGTTAAAAAAATAATTGCTTGGTTTCCATGTCGGTTTTCCCAAAAGCAAACCGACGTGGAAGCAATATACTG